ACAAAAAAGATATCACCATGTGACTTAAATATTCAACCACTAATGCAAAGAATGATAATTTTTCAGCCCACATTGCAAGGGTGTATAAAAGCAGTTTCATCTGGAAAGTTCTACAAAAAAGTAAGCCGTGTTTCGGAATCTTCAATCTGCGTATGCACACTTATCCAAATATTCTGAAGTAATATCCGAAGTACATTACCTGTGTGTTTCATTTCGCGAACTGAGGGAAAAAGTTGCGTGACTTAGATGAAATCAAAAGAAATGATGGCATTTACTTTTAATTTCAAAACAGTGTAAGCCATTTTAAAATGAAAGTGACAGAAGCTGTTATGAGAGCTACCTTAAGACTGAGTTGTTTACCGTTTTGGTGGATTTCCGCTCCTCGATCGATTTTACGTCTGAAATTTCGTTCCTTGGATTGATATGAGGTAGGTTCAGATGTTCCCTAAAGAGCCACGTTATTCGGGTGTATATGCTTCCACTTTTTCCAACCATTTTATTATCATACAGCCAGCGAAGTGTCAGCGGTAAAGTGGAGATTTATTACAGTGAATCAGAGGCCTTTATCATTCTTGCCAAATACGTCATCAAAGACGGTATGGTCAAGGGGATTCCCCGTTTGAGAAGTATTGCTCGTCAATAGGCCTCTATTTGGCATTGTTTCTGTTCTGGTTGTGTATTTGCAAGATGTCCTGAACAGTCTTCTAACACTCGCTGCTTCTGACGTTTCTGGAAAATATCAAACTCTACTAGTCATTTTGTTACGTGAATGGGTTCGGAAACAAGCTGCTAAAAGAAGCGTCTTCAATTGGCTTGACTTGTCAAGGAAACAAATCAGCGATCCCAACTAAATCGTTTTATCCGCAACATCGGATTTGTTTTGCACAGATCCCGTCTTGCGATTGGTATACTCAACACAAACATCTGACTCAGCCAAAGAAAGGTACTTTTACTTTGCATATTCGTCGACTCAATTGTAAATTTAAACGAGCCCTAGCCGGTAATCGATTTGTCTACATGATTGCAAGACTGCCTTCACATGGAAACGGCGCAGTTTGATTTTTTTAAGTTTTCAGTTCTTTCTTCTAGGAAGCTGCTTAAGGCAAAACAAAGCTGAACAACCTACCAAATAAGGGCGGATAGTCGAATTCGTGACTTTTTTTCTTGCAGTATTCCTTAGCTCTTAAGTTTGTACGCATAAGTATGTGAGCTTACTTTTCGTTCGCGTGTCGTAATTTGATTGGCCACTAAAAACGATGTAATTAATCTTCGACTCGAAACATCTAACTTTTGATCATAATCTAAAAAGGAAACGTTTTTGGGCTTTTGCACTATCCATATCTGTACAAAATCGCCATGTTTTCCTCGTGCCTCTACTTTTGGTTTCCAAAAATAAAGCGCTAAAATATTCGCTGTTTACAACCTCATTGTAAACAATTGTCTGTCGGCATGGGGTTCAAGTGAACGGTAGTGAAGGGTCATTAATTTATCATGAGCTGACATTTGCGTGTCCTTGAGAGTAGCGATTAAAATGGTCACGCAAGAAGCACACGGGTATGACAATCATTTTAAGGTTAAAATATATAATGTTTTCCTACATGACACACTCAATCTGATAAAATGCAAACATAGACATGAATGTCGTGTCTGTGATTCGGCTCAACGGATCTGTGAGTATTCGTCTACAGTGTCCCCTATCGTTTTTGTGCGAAAAATCTTTTTGAGCGAAAGCGATCACACAACACAAGGTGCAATTTTCAATTTTTTTTGTGAATATCATCATCTTGTTTGGGCATATGCGAGTAACCCTGTAATGATTTTGCAGCCATTGGGAAAGGGTGTATATTGATTCAAATGCTTACAGGTTTGAAATTGACCAACATATCCCAAGATGTCGAAGACATACTTGTGAAAACACTTGATGTACCCCTAATAGGGAAAACTGAATGCAGCTTTGAAAAGTAGGAAAGGCATTGGAGATTGATGACCTTAATCTTCAATACTTGAAGAACAACAAAGAAGGGAGTCCAACTTGGCAACTGTTGGAAATACTCAAAGCAAAATATCCACATTTCACTGTTGCTGATCTACTACACCCATTAAAGAACTAAAAGGATATAAATATCTTCAGACATTGTTTTTATACACTTCAGTATTTAAACACAGTATGAAAGTAAACATACTGACCCAAAAATGCTACTCCAGAGAGTACCTTGGCAATTTAACTGTTTCACATGCAGGTTTGAGTAGTACTTTGTGTATACATGATTCTTGCCATGTCGTTTCCTGTGCCATCCTTTATTAGCATTATTTGAACAGAGGTAAAAATAATTAAGTAGAGCTAACTTATTACCCATGAGATATTATAAAACACCTGTTTTATAAAATTTCTGATTAAGCAGGCAAAGAATTTGTTGATTTGAGATAGGGGAAGGATTTGGATGGGGGGGGGCATGTGGGGTGCCATGCTTAATTAAAATTTGCTGAGGGTTAAAAGTGTTTAATTCATCATTTCCCTTTTGAAGAGTTGGCCAAATTGAACAACAACAAAATGAGGTATGCACTTCTTTGTTGAAGAGCCTCTGACATTTACTCCTGAAACTGGAAGAGGAGTAATGTTTTTCTCAACTTTAACCAAGATCAAAAAGTTGCAATAGTCCAGCCTATCATTAGACTATTTAGGCTGAATGTAAGGAGGGAGGAGGGAAACATATAGTGGAGGGCTTTAAACTCTCCCACCACCTGGGGTGGTGGGAGAGCTTATTCCTTGAACTTTGACTAGTTCAGGATTTTCCATTTACACCTAGCTGATCCCTGAATATGCCATGTAATGAAGACATGAATATAACAATGCTGTGATAGGCTGAATTTTCATCTGAAAGAGTTGCATGTTTTTTTTCAAAGAGGCCTTAAATTAGCAAAGACATAAATATCTCCAAAAATGTAAATATAGTCATTTTAAGGTGTGCAGTATTAAAATGTGTTTGTTTTATTAAAC